GGCTTTAGCTTAGTCCATTTTTGTTCCAATGGATCCATGGCCCATCTAAAGAAATGATTCAATGTTTAATTTCAAGTTTTTCTTTTTAATTTTAAGCTTGATTTATTTTGAATATATTTATGCGTGTTTATTTTCTATACTTAATATTCTAGTTTGCATTGAATTTATTTTAGCAAATCTTAAAAAAAATTTATGTTATGATTTTAATTTTGTAATTAGTTTAGATAATTAAAGGATAAGTGAATCGTCAAGTCTTCTAATTTTTAGGGATTGTGACGATTCTCTATCAACAAAAAAATAATAAAAAATTCTCAACGAAGTCTCCGATCCGATAGAGACTTTTTTTTAATGCTAAATGACGACTCCGAATTTATAAATAATTCTCTAAAATAATAATTAAAACCTAGATATTTTTTCGAGAATCTTGTCTAATATCGGATAGCAACATTTCTTTTTACATTTGTAGCATTCACTATTTTGTTGCTTGAAACCTCCATGTTGTTGATTATTATGATGACCATCTTGATTTTGGCATTAAACTCCCCTTGCTTCTAAACTCCTATCTTGCCACTTCTTTGTTTTTTCTTTATTCTTCACTCTTCACTTTTGACTTTCCAACACGATTATTTGATTGGCTGCTTCTGTTTTAACTAAAAAGTGCCTCCTCGTTATTTTTTTAATGAAACTCTAATTATTTGTTAGCTAATTTCCTTGGTTAGAAAATAAGTTCTCCAAGTCTTTATTTTTAGACTTTAAATAATGGATGATGACTATTCTTATTCTGTTAGCACCGAGTTTGGATTTTGGATCCAACTTAGAAATCCCTTAGCAAAGAGATTTTACTTTTGTGAAATATTAGTTGATTGTCTTATCATGCTGGATGGTAGACATCAACTCATTCCTTATTAGCTGAAGCCACATATCATTTTTCTTAACAAACAAGTTTCAAGAATATCTCATGCCTCTTTAGGTGTTGTGGCATGCCTGATATGCTCCAACATCTCTTCCTCAACTGTTGTTTTTATCACGAATATATAGCCTTTCTGGGTTTTATCTTCCATGGCGTGAGTGCTTTGGCATCTTGTTACGGCAATGTGATTTCACCACTATAAACGATCTCTCACAGATCTTGACTAAGTAAATAAGCCTCCATACACGTCTGCCACGTGCTGTAATTTTGTTGCTAAGCTTTTTAATGCTTTCAACAATATTGAGATCTGCCAAGACCATTTAGTACAACCTCCCTACAAATTGCGAAGTGTGGTCCCAAATCTAAAAATTCTACATTCCCCTAAGTGTATATATGGACGATCTCTTTATCGATTCCTGATCAATATTCACAGTCCTAGATTTTGAACAAGAAAAATGTTTGCTTTGACGATGGTTCCTTACCACATACTCTTGAACGTCAACTCAGATACCAATTATTGAGTTGAAAATCACTATTCACATAGAATAGTTTACATGAATAATAACTTATACCACTAAATATTTAAACTAGCATGCAGTACAAATACACTAGCTCACACAACATTCTACAATAATTTAAAAATACATTCAAAATACAAGACGCTCTAGATTGTACTCAGGACTCCCTTACTAAGAGCAGTAACTCACTCTCTCTCACTTTGCTCCTACACTCATTCACTGGCTTTGCTTGATGCTTACAAATAAAGCGAGACTATCTATTTATATTTATACTAGTTGGTTAACGCATGGTGCATTAATTCATGGTAGGAATTAGTTGGTGGCAGGAAGTTGATATGTTAATTCAGAGTAGGAAGTTAATGCATTAATAATAGTGTTGATTTTCTAACATTTGGTTTCGTACGACAACCACTACTTATATCACAACAATTATTTTTTAGCAATGACAATACGAGATTGTCTTGGAAGTGAAAATCGCTTGAGAAATAAAGAAGGGTTTGCATTCTTAAGTTGAAGTCAGGTCATCCATCCATCCATCCACTCTAGCTACCGAACTTTAATTTACTTGTCTAGGAGAATGATTGAGTATAGAGGTCCTAAGAGCAAAAAAATTCAAGTCATGCATTGTGTGCTCATTATTGTCGACTTTTTAATCACTAAATAAGGCCCTACATGCACCAGCCATTGGGTGAAAGCACATTGCCACTAACTCGGTCTATTTCAATCTATCTGATAGATATCCTTAAGGAATAACGAGATTTGAGTGCCTTTTCAATAGGAAACTTTTTTTCCTCACAAAAAAAGAAAAAAGAAAAAAACAAACAAATAAACTTCGTATTTTTCATTTAAGCATAAAAAGGATTTTCTCAATTAATAAGAATAAAAATATATATATTAGTGTGCAGTCGAACATAGTACTATTTTTCTCACTTTTTTTTCTACGTTAAATTGCTGGTGGCAGCTAGTCAAAACATACCCCCTTGATTATCAAGAAATTGCTAGTTGTGGACTTCAGTTTAGTCCACATGAATACTCTTAAGTTTGAATCCTGCACTAACCACTATGGAGAAAGATTGCTGTCCTGAGGTAACATTAGACTTTGTAACCAGTCGTGGCAGCATTCTTTTGAAGGAATGAATTCATGATCAGAAGGTCGTTTTTTCTTTTACTTTTCATACTTTGGATAATATTGGCTATCAATTAGACTAATTTCTTGGTATGGCTTATTTAATTTTAAGTGCTTGTATTAATTATTGAGTGTATAATAGAGTATAAACGTAAATATGTATGTTTGTATGCTTTTGTGTGTGTGTGTGTGTATAGAAGGCAAGGCCATGACCTCGACCCCTTGTTCTCTTAAAATACAATATGATATAAATTTATGTATGCTATATATAGTAGGGTATTTTAAAACCAATTTTTGTTTTGACCCAGATTAAGTACACCAATACATAGCTTTACTTTTATATATGCTTGTCTCCCTAACTTAGATTCTTTGGCTTCGAGAACCAATTACTAAATCGAAGAATGTTTTTAAAATCAATGGTGGAGCTGGGATTTGTTTTAGGGGATAAATGAATATGAATGAATAGAATATCCTGAGATGAAAAAGACATTGACTTATATACATAAAATATGTAGTTCAGAGTTGCAAATCTTGGTCAATTTTGAAAAAAAAAAAATAGCAAAACTCATTAAATCTAAGGAACTGTTTTGAATTCTGGGACCTCCACCAGTCCTCTTGGCTCCGCCACATTGTAAATGTATGGCAGATAATGAGTTCCAACAAAAGTTTTGGAGAAAATGTGCTTGAATTGAATTTAAAGGCATTTTCTTCAATTTGCTTAAGGCCTTACAATTATAAAAATCCTTTTTACAAAACCTTCTATGGCATTTCACAACATTTCATCATAGCTGTTACAGTAGCAAACAACAGGTGCCTAATTTCTTGAGTATTACGCTTCAGCCGATCTTGTTATAAACTGAGAAGATCAACTCATGCTGTATACAGGATAGTCAAGGATCCAGCGGAAAGTGCCTGAAATCTGAATCCAATTAATACCGGGAGCTTTCAAGTTAGGTTTAGTTGAATATTAGCAGCCCTAGGGCTATGGTGGAGACTTGACTTATCGAACCAGATCATCTGTATTTCCTTTCAAACTTAATTAGGCATGCTAGAATATGCGTACAAACATTAAGCCCTTCCTATCATTTCATTGTTCAAGATTAGGATTGACCATACATGGCGAATCAAAGAAGCTCCCCATCACATGACTTCTAACCCACAGAGTAGGTAGCATTCAAGCCAACCAGTTGCAAGATTTGAATAGTTTGGTGGTGCTTGAAGTGGTTTATATTGATTAGTTAACCTCATACTTTTCCCCTTGATGCCAAGGAATTCTTCAAGGATTCATTTGTCTGCTTCATATAGTTCAAGTAATTTTCCATATATATTCTCTCTAGCAATGAAGGCTTGGTTTTTTTTTATTCATCCAGGCCTAATGGATTTATTGGACTATATAATAATGGAGGTAGTTTTTCTCATTATATAACCATTAAAGAAATTGAAGTTGAAGTCATGAGGACTCGAAATTTATTTGACTAAAAAAACTAATTTGCTACACGACTAGTAAACTAAGCCTGATTTTTTTTGTACCACATATTAGTATGGGATTATTGGGACAATTTCTTGGCACGACGGCTAAAGCCTTAAATCTAGTAGCGGAGGACAGAAGGGATTATTTTGTTTTAAAGCTTAGGACTTGGGGAGAGCATCTGTGAGAGGGAAGATAGGTGGAGAAAGTGATAACGAAGAATGGGACCAAAAAGTGGGACCTCCAATTACCTCAGTGGAGCAAAATAAGTCCACTGCAAGTGGAAACTGCAATGAGAAGCAAAGCAAAGCCTTCCAAAAATCTCAATCCCCCACCCACTACTCCCTACGAAAAAAGAACAGAAGAAAGGAAAGAAGTGGCATATGAAAACAAGCCATAACATCATCATCATCCACCACGACGACATCATCACCATCTTTTCTTTTCTTCCTTCTCTTTTGATTCTTACCTACTACCAACACCCACACCCACCTCTACAACTTGCACAAAGCAAGCTCTTTTATTCCACTGTAAGTCTCTCTCTCTCTCCCCCCCTGTCTCCACTTTGTTTTCTTTTATGTCCAGTCTTTTCCTTGAATTCATGGGGTATTGCTGTCAACCCAAGCCAAAAAGGGATATAGAAACTAGAGAGAAAGGCTTCCAGTGTACTATAAGTAATCAATCTGCTCTGTGAAACAGTCCTGTTTTTTTCCGTTCTGTTTTCTATCCCTTTAAAGCATTCTTCTTATTACCAAATTTTGCCTTTAATTCCACTCATTGATCTTCTAAAACTTCTTAACAGAGCTCAGAATCAAAAGGGTACACAATACCTTTCAATATATTATTGTTCCATAGATTGTTCTTTGTGTCAGCTGCCTCAGCTCTGTTTATGTTCCCTTATTTATAGGAGCTTTCTTGCCAAACCTGAACCAAATAGGATATAGTCTTGAAACTTCCTTGAAGAATTACTTTCTTGTGATGGATTCTTTCAACCAATCAACTGGATTCAGGTATAATCCAGATTCAAACACGATGGGTGATGCTGATGGCGATTCAGAGGTCTCCGGGATTCTTGAAATCTATGTTCATCATGCCAGGAATATTCACAACATATGTATCTATGATAACCAAGATGTTTATGCAAAATTCTCTCTAACTTATAATCCTGATGAGACCATTTCAACTAGAATTATCAATGGAGGTGGCAAAAACCCAGAATTCAATGAAAACTTGATGATGAAACTCACTCAACTTGATGCAGTCCTCAAATGTGAGATTTGGATGCTTAGTAGAGCTAGAAACTACATGGAGGATCAGCTTCTAGGATTTGCTTTGGTCCCTATTTCCCAAGTTTCGGGCAAAGGAAAGGTGACTCAAGATTACAGCCTCTCCTCCACTGACCTCTTTCACTCTCCTGCTGGTACTGTCCAATTGTCTCTTTCCTTAAACACAGCTTTGCCTGTTAAGCCCTCAGCGACAGCTACGAACTCTTCAATATCATCAGAGGTTGTGCTTCTTGACAGAAAGATATCAGAGGTTATTTTGGACCCAGTTGAGTATTCGAGAATTGAATTTCCTGATGTCAATGTTGTTAGAGAGAATCAGCAAATGGTCTCGGAGTATTTTGATGGCTTGGGTTCTAGGCCTGGCTCATTTCTTCACCTCGGTGCCTCCCCACAACCTGCTTTTCATGACTATGAAATGACAACGAATTCCTCAGAGGAAAATCAAGGTGGTTCAGCTTCTCCTAATGGTAGCATCCAAAACTCCAGTTTCTTGAGCTCTACGACAACAAGCCTGAGCGATGACAGAAATTCCTCTGATTCAGTTGAGAGAAAGAGTCGTTTAGGTGGTCAGTCATCGAACTCTCTTAACGTTTCGATCACCACAGAGGCTAATCATAACTCCCGTGCTTGTCCTGACACTCCAACTTCAAAGAAGGAAAACAAAGTCCGAGACGAAAAGGAATCAAACTATACAAGCAGGGAGGAGGAGAGCAAGAAGGAAGGAAACATGAGTTCTGTTAAATTTGGTCAAGTATTTTCTGCCCCACTAGGAAATATCAATCTTGAGGCAGAGCAGTCTGCAATGCAGCAGCAAATAGTTGACATGTACATGAGGAGCATGCAACAATTCACAGAATCTTTGGCCAAGATGAAGCTACCTATGGATCTTGACAAGCCAGAACCTGAGGATGGCGGCGATGTGATTCAAAGTCATAGCAATAAACTAGAGCTTGAGAAGAAGAGAAAGGACGGAGGGCGAGTATTTTATGGTAGCCGGGCATTCTTCTAATCCATATATATCCCTTGCTGCTGCATATGTTACCTAGTTTTGTTCTATCAGGAAATGGAGTTTAATTTATGGGCTTCGCCAATGGTATTCATGACTCAAATTTAACCTTAGTTTTGTTCTAACTTCCTCTTTTTTATCATCACAACTTAATACATATGTTTCATTAACCTTTACAAACACATGTATCCCATTCCCAGATGTGTTCTGCTGTCCAGTTGTTGTGTCGGTGGTTGCCTTTTTTTTTTTTTTTTGGTGGGGTGGTTAGTAAATCCTTGTTTTTCAAGCATGTAGGATATTTTACATGTTTCCAATTATGCAATAATAATTGTATCCGTATTGAAGAATTGCCTAAGATTTGTATGGTGTAGAAGGGGATCTTGAATCCACTATAACGTCTATGTACTATTTGCAGTATGAAAATACAGAATTTTATTGGTAAATTTTCATAGAAAGTGACATGATATTTATTTGGGGCAATGCCGGCCTTGCCTGACATGTATCAAGTCATTAATTAAATATTTGTCATTTCTGTATCTGAGATAAGTACAATGTGGCGCTTTTTGTCATTTCCCAGCTTGTCATCAACAAAAAGTATGAGCTTTTGCTGTTTTAATTTAAGTTATAGTTTGCATTTGAGTTTTTAATATTTTAAAGAATACTCCTTTTTTTTTAATACTTGAAAGAATACTCCTTAGGAGGTTCTTTGACCTGCGGAAACAAAGGAAATTTGTCTTTGCTTAGTTGTCAAGTATTTCTAGTACTCATCGGTTCTTTCAGTCTTAGTAGCATCTCAGAAACTCCGGCAGGTTTTATTAATAACCAAATTGGTTAGAAATTTCATGTTGTCTTTAAACTTCCTTTGCATGCCGCGGTCTAATGGGGTATCTAATTTTTTTTATAGCTCTTAACCTCTTAACTCTGTCCTTTAATACGCCTATGCCCCTTTACTTTCCTTTTTCTGAAATCAAACCTTCCATGCTAGACTCAAGAACCCTAATTCTCATAGAAGAAGAAGAAGAAGAAGAAACTCTGGAAAATACCCTCTTATTATAAGCTTGAGTACTTGGCTGAATTCATTGCATGCGATTAAAAATGAAGATATTTTTGAAGTATCACTTTTTGTGTGGAGAATGGAAGACCCAAGGCAATAAATGTACTATAAGTACACAAATTTCTATTTTTTTAATTAAATATATGAAATTTATTTTTTTATTTGAGTATATTTTTTAAAAAAAAATTATCAATGAATTACTTCTGTGAATTTGTCTTTAAGTTATGGCATGTTTGTTATTTCAAAAATACTAAATTATAATTTCCCCTCTCCTTTTTCAATTGAACATATAGATTTTAATTTTTTTTATTTGAGTAATTTTTTTTTAAACTGTCAATCACTTTCGTCAATTTTTTTTATAATTAATGAAGTGTCTCGTTGCCCTTGTAAAACCAAATTATAAAATTTCTTTTTTTGTTGGAGGAAACTTTCTCCCCAAATTATTATATCATTTCAAGACTTGACAAAGAGTTAAAAAAATATATATTATATTTTAGGTATAAAATTCTGAACTAAACTCGGTTAAATTTTAGATGTGAATTTAAAAAAAAAACACAAACGTGATATTTTTTATGAAGAAAATTCATTATTTGTAAGCATTTGGGGAGAAAGTTCTCTTTAATAAAAAAGAGAACAAAATTATAATTTAGCATTCAAGAAAAATCGAACACATCATCAATTAACGAAGAAACTGATAGAAATACTTGATTAATAGTTTTACAAAATTAATATATTCAAATGAAAAAAAGAATTAAATCCATCTATTAGATTGAGAAAAAAAAAGAATAAAATTATAATTTAATATTTTGAGAGTAACAGACTCAACATTACTTAACAAAGAAATTAGCAAAAATAATTAATTGACATTCTTCAAAACATTATTGTACTCAAAAAAGAAAAAGAAACTAAAGTCTATATACTCAGTTGAAAATTAAAAGTTTTTATTTATAGTGCAATTATCCCAATTCCCAAGTCATGATCAAGGGTTGGAAAGCATTACAATGTCTGTTGAAGCCACTAAATTTCCTGGTGACCATGACTGTAATGGTGGGGCAGATTAAGACCATTTTTCCACACCTTGTTCATAGTCAAAATTAATATACAAGCACGTTTAAAAAGGGTCCCAGAAGACATGGAAAGAGCAGGAATCCAAGGTGCCGCTTGTACGTTCAATTGTCCACAGCATGCCGGGTTTATTTTGTTTTCGCAAACCTTAATCAAGTAATTTAGCTACTTTTGTTATGTTCTAATATATATATATATTACAAAATAAATAAATTGAATTAAGAATGATTTTCGTTGTACATAAATTTTGAGCTGCTGAAAGATGGACGTGAGTATTCGATAGGATCGATGTCCGGATCTTATATTATATTTAAATTTATTCCGGATCGAAGCCTAAAAAATTAGATACGAGAATTGAGAAAAGCTTAATAAGTTCTTGATATAGACTTATTGGTTAATCTCATTAAAAGGTCCATTGTTTAAACCGATTTAAAAATAAACCAGAAACCAACTAATTAGGTCCAATAAGAATATAAAAGCCTCACTCATGCATGAGAATGCGATCACTTACCCAAAACTAAAACACTAGAGCTCTCTCATAAAATAATGGGAAGTGAATTATAGGATTGGATATAATGTGAAAATTTCATCTAAAAAAAGTAGATAATTAACCACTAATGTATAGACAGTTAGGAGATTAAAAAACTTCCAATAATAATAAAATTCAACCTAGTTAACTAGGAGGAACGTGGAGGATTGCGAGTATGGAAGAACAAGTAGAGCAAAGCACTCGCATAAAAAAGAAGACATGAATGCGTTGCAAAGCAAGAAAAAGAGAAACATGGAGTAGAGTAGCTCGCATTAGAAGAATTGGTCTACTATTGGAGGTCATGGAGCAACATGAAGCCTATAAATACAAGTTGAAGTCTAGCAGAATCGCATATAACAAATATAATAAACAAGAATACTCTTACAAGAAGTCTATAAATAAAAGTCGAAGTCTAGAGGAATCGCATATAACAAATATAATAAACGAGCGTACTCTTACAAATAGCTCAAAGATTGATATGTGCTAAGCATAATAAAAAATAATTACCTTTTAATTTTTAAACTGCAGATAGGATAAGCAAGGGTCGAATCAAGATACACTATCCGATCAAATTGTCTACTTAATATCATAATAAATAAACAAAAAAGAAAGGGAGGGTTTTCTTTTGTAAGTTAATTGACATAATTATAATTTAGCAAATTAATTTTTACCTTCCTTAATTGCGTTAATCCGAGTCCAAGCACATAAATTAATTTTTATCAATAAACCGAGTTGGTATTAAGCAATCCTCATTAATTTACTCATAGCATGATGCAAACTAGGAAAAAGTTAAATATGAACAATAATTTAACAAGCATCGATTATTTAATTCATTCTATGCTCTTTTAAACAAGAAATAAAAACTTGGATCATAATTATTTTACTAAATTGCTACTTTAATTGAACATCATAACAATTACATGTTGTAAATTCGGTTTAGCTATAGAGCACACGAAGTCAATCAATTAATAGGTCTTTTAATTAATTAAATCATGTAGCCAATAACATGTAAAACCAAAAAACATAAATATTTAAATAAAAAAACAACTAAGATTAAAAATAGAGTCTCACAACTTTGCTAACCTGATTGAAATTCTCTTAAATCAACTAAAGAATTTAGCCGGACATGATGAATGTAAAACACATAAAAATATTCGGAGAAAGAGTGAGCTAAAGAGAAGGAAACCTTCTACTCTCCTCGATGTCCTATATGTATCCCTAAAAGAAAAATAAAATAACATCAATTTGGTGAGAGAAAAACTCTCAATTATTTTCTAGAAATTAGTTTTGCTAATTTTCTATTTTGTCTTTGCTATCGATTCCAAACCATTTAAAAGCAAAATGAGAGTTTTTCTCTTTAAGAAAGTTGTAGCCCTAATCCTCATCTTTCCAACACATTGGGCCTTGCACCAAAAAAAGTCTACAACTTAAGTTATGAGATAAAAACTAAGGTCGTCTTAAGCGGTTTGGTCGATTCACGAGTAATTTCCTCCTTCAAAACAATCTAGTTTGAACTCGGGATCTTAAAAGTTATATATGTGGTTCCGAACTTCAACAAGATTAGACTTGTATCAATTGAAGGTATAAAACTTTAGATATTAGATAAAAACTACAACCGATTTGAGACTCCAACTAGGATTCGGATTAGCTTCCTAGATCGGACTATGAAATAACATTTGGAGGCCTAAAAGAATTCAACTTTTGACCTATAATACCATTATGAAAATCTTGAGATGCCTTCTACAAAAACTGCGAAGACCATTTTTTTCCAAGTCCAAGCACTAAATTTAGTGAAAACCCGTAAAAAACCTAGAAGATCTAAGTCACAGAATGTTAGAGTTTCCTAACTTTAAATACAATTACTTCTAGTTCCTAATTTAAGTCTTATACATAAATATAAATGTTAATCATCATAATAACACATAAAAAATCCAATAAACTAATTATAAGGAGAATAAAAATGTAAAATAATTTGTCTATCAAGGAGCATTATCAATCATAAGTTTTACATTTAAAACTTGTTAAACAATAGCTCGTAAGGGACAGATTTGTAGGCGATAATCTAGTAAGTGTTAATCAAGTAATCAATAGATCATAGGTTGATAGTTAGTCCTCCAAACATCTACTCGTGTTCACATCCAATGTCCTCTATAGTTCTTCCATTCAATATTATGTTTGGAATGTCATCTTGTGGATATTCATTATTTTCTTTTATTATAAGTTCATTCAATTAAGTATTGTATAAGACTGTAGTATTGCCATTATTTCATAAAATTATCGGTTTTCATTCATATTAAAGGCATTAAATATTAGTATTTAATTGTCTAAATTTATAGTTTGTTGCTTCATCATTGT